TTAGTAACTTTCTATGAATACTGTGGGTATAATACAAAAATATCATCGTAAAATAAGAACCAAATAAGATTTTAGGCAAATATATATTTTTAGCTGCTTTTCATATTTTATAAATGTTTTTTTTTTTTTTTTTTTTTTCAATAACAATCAACTGACATTTAAAGGTCAAAAATGTGCCAATGACTTTTATGCAAAAATATACACAAATACATGCATATGTAGACAAATGCATTCTAAAAAAATGCAAAATAATTGCATTGTTTTTATCGGTGTATGTATACATTTTCATATCTATATAATTACTCAGTCATTTTCAAAGGTATTTATATACATATACATATATACCCTTTTATGCTTATTTGGCATAAAGTATAGTATATATATTTATACCCTTTCTACTTGTATTATATAATATAGGCAGGCGTCTATTTCCAACAGTAAACAAAATGTAACATGTTTCGTGGGACACTGCTGAATTATGTAAGGTTGTTTTTGACTGTCATAGAAATGAAGTAGTTTCTCAGAATATATAATTTATGCTACATTTATTAATACTAATTTAAATTTAAATATGTAAGATAAAACTATAAACAACTTTAATAATTGTAATTTTAGGTTTGATGTATATTATAAATATTTGTATTATTTTACAGAATTGAATTTTGTGTTGGAAAAAAAGAAATATCCTTGGGATGGCAGTATAACTCATATAGTGTGTATTAAACGTGATTAGAGAAAATTATAACTTCGAATGTGAATTAAGCGTGTGCCTTAGCTTAAGAAACTATTTGATCTAAAAATATTTTGGATCATAATGGGCAGTGTTTGGAAACGTTTACAGAGAGTTAACAAACGTGCGGCAAAATTTCAGTTTACTGCTTCGTATCATGAACTTCGATTGGAAACCACGGCTAAGTGGTAAGCAAAATCATTTTACTAGTTATAGATTAATATTTTTCTAACGAAGCTTAAACCTGCATTGGCCTGGGCTTACTATGGAAACTTTATTGCTTAATAACTTTTCTTGTTGATGGACTATGGTCGTGATTATGTCATTTAAGTGCGTGTATGTGCCAAAGCAGAAGTTTCTAGTATTTGAAATACGCCTTTTACAAATATAAGGGTGAGGAAGTGGATATAGGGTGGGGGTATATTACATCAAAAATCGAAATTCTATAAAAATACATACGAGTCTATCGGGAGTAGTTATCAATATGCGCGTGATATACACGGACCTAGGAAAACAAATTTCAAGTCTCTAGCTCGTATATCTTCTAAGTTCGACGCGTTCATACATACGGACGGACGGACGAACAGGGATAAATCTACTCAGCTCGTCGCCCTGAAAAATAATATATATATTTTGTGGGGTCTGACGCGCCTCCTTCTGCTATTATACCCTGATTTCCCATTGAAAATGAGAATAAAATGATATTGAAAATCGTTTTATCGTTCTGAGCTTAAATAACCGTTGGTTAGTCGGGTAAGCATGTTCTTTTTCGCAATTCAAACTTTAATAACAGTTTGTTTCAAAACTATTTATATTTTTATACCATTGAAAATGGGAAATCAGGGTATAATGGTTTTGTTGAAATGTATGTAACAGGCAGAAGGAGGCGTAGCAGACCCCACAAAGTATATATATTCTTGATCAGGGCGACGAGCTGAGTTGATTTGGCCCTGTCCGTCTGTCTGTCCGTCTGTCCGTATGTATGA